CTTCCATGACCTTTGACAGTATTGGCAGCAGGGATATGGGTCGGTAGTTCTTTATTGCGGACTTCGAACCCTTCTTGTGCACAGTTACAACTGAGGCAAGCTTCCACAGTGACGGTTGCCGGCCTTGGCGGAATGCTTTGCTGAAGAGCTGGGCCACAGGCCTGCACATTTCCTCACAGCACTGCTTCAACACTCGTCCTGGTACACCATCCGAGCCAGTGGCTTTGGACGGGACAATCTTCCTCAGTTCACGGCATACCGTTCGTGGCCTAAAGTGGATGGTACTCAGACAAGCATCAGATCGCGGGCGTACTTACGGGAGGTTGCTGGCATCAAGGTCATCACCAAGGCTGCATTTCGCTGAAAAGTAGCGGGCAAAGCTCTCTGCTTTGTCCTTACTGGTGGTTAGCTCCTCGCCGTTTTCCTCCTTGAGGGTAGGGATATCATGGCTACGCCCACACCCACCGGCACGCTTGACAGTGGACCACCATTCACGACTGGATAAACCACCTGCTGCGAGCCTTCGACGGATGGCTGCTGTATGGGTATCTTCAGCTCTCTGAAGGCATGCTGAGGCAGTGGCTGTGGCTTGGGTATAAGCTAGTTGGAGTTGTGCATCCGCTGGATGCAGACGGAGTCGCTTCCATGCATTTCGCTTCCTCTTGGTGGCTTCGGTGCACTCTGGTGTCCACCACACTGGGTCGGTACTGTGCAGCTTGAGGCTCTTGGACGGGATGAACGTTGTCATGCCCTCAGAGATCCTGCCAGTCAGCCGCTCGCATGACAGGTCAATGTTGTCAGTGATGATAGAGGACCAGTCTGTTTGCCGGAAGAAGTGCTTTAAACGTGGCCAGTAAGCCAAATTATAGCGCCACACGCACCTCGAGGTTGGAGGCTCCCGGTGTGGTGGAGCACGCAGGAAGTCGGTAATCACACTGGCATGGTCAGATCGGCCGAGAGGTGGGTGCACAGTAGACATGACCGGGGTGTCAAAGTCGGAAAGGGCCAGGTCCAGGGTGTTATTGCCCCTGGTTGGCTCAAGCACGTGTTGGGTGAGGTGATGAGCAGCACTGAGCTCCTCCATTGCTTCGCCAGCAGGTGTTGTCTTTGTACTATGAAGCCAGTCGGTGCTGTGGACGTTGAAGTCTCCAGCAAGGATCAACTGGGTACCATGACATCGGGCAGCATCGAGAGTGCGATCAAGGTACTCCATGAGGCTGGTGTCACCCTCCGGAGCACTACCAGGCCTGTACAGGGCAGCAACAACAGCTGTTCGGCCACATCGCAGACGGACGGTGAACCATATGATCTCCTGGTTGTCACGGGGAACCATGCCTAGCTCAATAGCCGCTAGGTCGTTGCGCACCCAGACAGCGACACCACCTCCTTGAGCCGTCCTATCCAACCGCATTCGAGGGCCATAGCCAGGGATGGCAGTCTCGGCTTGTGACATTTTTTCCACCGTGAGCTTGGTTTCGGTAACGATAGCGATGTCGGGAGAGTGGAGTGCGAGAGCATGGCGGAAGTCACCAAATTTGGAGGCTATGCCAAAGGCGTTCGTTAGGTACAGTCGGAGCGTGTTGGTCGTGCTCGTGCTGGTCATTCCGAGTTGATAGATGATCCCTTGATGGCACCAGACGATTCATCAGCTGGGCGTGTCTCAGTACGGATATTTGGCAGTAGGCCACTTAACAGATCCATTGCCTCATCATCACCCGCAGGTGATCGGGATTGTGGGGAAGTAAAATCATACTTGTCGAAATTCCATAGACGTGAGTACAGAGGTCTAGGCCAGAACTCTCTCGAATTCACTCGTACTGCACTCTTAGCATCCAGAACAAGGCGTGCCGAGGAGGACCTTTCCTTTTTGAAAATTTTGCATTCGTAGATCTTGACGTTCACTTTGGCTTCACTTGCTCTGATGGTCACAAACTTAGCAATATTTTCAGGTACTGCACTGCAGGGAAGATTGCCAACGAACATCACACACTTCCTTCCGACAGGCTTTCGTTCACAAACAAGTTCCCATACTCCACTGTCTTTGTTGTCCTCTTCGAAATTAGAAAGTAAATCACTCTGCGCTGGGATGGAGGCATTTTTTGAATTTCCGAGCTGCGATACGATTGTGCTCTCAGGAGGAGTGTGTGTGTATGTGCCGGCATAATTTCGGGAATTATCGGTGTGATTTTTAAAACGGGAATTATTGGCAATTTTTGTGGAATAATCGGTAAAATTTGAGCAATGCCCCCCTTTTTTCAATTTTTTTTTCCATTTATAACACCCTGATTTGTACCAAAAGCGAAAAAATGCTCATGATCCTGAAGTAAGTTGATCGCCTGGTATTTCAAAAAAGAAAGAAAAAAAAGCTTCCAGCCGAGTTTCACGCGAACCGTGATTTTTTGCCCGTACAAGTGGCAAAAACCCGTACGCGGTACGATATCTGCAAAAAGGGGAAGAAAAAAAGAATTATTGTGAGAATTATTGGTGGAATTAACGGGAATAATCGGTCAAAATTTTGAGCAATGCTCAAAAGAATTATCGGTAAAAATACGAGCATATTCCGCGGAGGCCTATTGGCCACTAGTGCACTGGCTATCGTGAGAATAAAGATTTGAAACCTGCATTTCATAGTCGTGGGGTCCGTGTTAAGTCCATAGTGACTTGTTCAAACTATCGTAACTCACTCAATACTTGGTCGATTCTCACAATCGAAACATGTATCTGCAAGAGAAAACTCTCAGCTGGCGATACATACAATCGCCGAAGCAATACGACTAACGGGAGTTGAGATATGCGACTAGACACGGAAAATTTCAACTCTATTTATTTAGCAGTCTGCTGACAGCATATTTTCCATCGTGGATCATTTTTGCGCTACCGGCTGCCATGGAAACAAGATTCAAATGGATCCCATGAGTCCTTACAAAAACATTGAGCTCGATACGAGCAAGGAGACCGAAATGGCAGCTGAATAGTTGAGCTCGGTTAGTCTTGGCCGTGCTCAAGTCTGTCGAGCGCGTTGATGAAGTTTGCCAGACTGTAGCACGGGGTGTTGGTTTCGCTCTGGGCCTTCGTCTCAAGACCTTTCCAGAAAGCTCAAGATCATGGAATTCGTCCAAGGGAAGGTAAAGTTATCGATCCTTGAGCAGCTAGTACTTTCATGGGAAAATGCGACTTTTACAGGTGTTGACGTGGGGCGCGTTCAGGTAGCGTCGTGCTAAAGAGGTTAAACCAGGTTTATTCCCGTAGCTATGCAGAAGACGTTACTTCAGTAACGTCTGGCGCTAGCCAGGGTCCACACAGCTTTAATTTGGTATTTGTTTGTGTGTTTGTTTGTTTGTTTGTTTGTGTCACGCCTGGCGCTATCCCGTATCTAACGGCAAAAAATCATAGGGATGTTATAAATTTTTCAATTCTCCTATTTTTTCAGGCATATCCTGGGATTCGAACCCGCACTATCGCCCTACATGCATTCCCCCATACACTTCGCATTCATACCCATTCCTCCAAGTTGCTTCACGTTATGATCTTGCGTTTGAAAGCCCCATTTGAATATTGCGCAGCTGTATGTGGCCAGCTGTGTTTGATGGTACGGTACGGGAGACGGTGTCGTATTACCCTCGATCGTACCTGTCCCGTACCTATCCCTACCGTACCGTACCATCAAAGACGGCTGGCCACAATGCATATTCAAATAGGGCTTTCAAATGCAAGATCATAACGTGAAGCAACTTGGAAGAATGGGTATGAATGCAAAGTGTATGGGGGAATGCATGTAGGGCGCGATAGTGCGGGTTCGAATCCCAGGTTATGTCTTTAAAAAAAAGGAATTTTTTAAAGACCGGGGGATGCATGCAGGGCGCGATAGTGCGGGTTCGAATCCCAGGTTATGTCTTAAAAAAAGGAATTTTTTAAAGAATTTATAACATCCCTATGCTTTTTTTTTGTCTAGGTCATCAAGGCAAAAAAGCATAGCGTAGGGCCCTGAGCTTCCAAGCTCTCTCGTTTTTATTTTTATTTTTACAAAGACCACTTAAATGCCAAACATGAGATGCAGCTAGGGTTTTACTGCACAGCTAGCTAATACATGAGCTGGGATCAGCTAAAATAAACAAGCTTTTGCCCAAAAGTAGAGCAATCCTGTTTTAGAGAGTTGCGCCGAACTGGTCGTTTTCAAAGAAGAAAGGAGAGGGATCCTTCCTGATTCGAGTCTCTCATGTAATCTCAATTCGGATCACCATCAGGTCCAGATCATGTGCCCTTGAGGTTTGGTACTTTGCATCGAGAAGGCTCCAACATCCTACGCTGTGCACGCGGTGTTGCGCTCTGTTTTTCGCAAGGCGCACAAAAAGAAAGCGCGAAGCGTTTTGTGAAAGGGGAAGCTGTTGGGTGGAGTTGGTGTGAAAATGTCCGTTATTTTAAAAAGTGCTGAACCGACCCCGTAAAGCCTGAGTGCACCAGCACAGAACAAAATTTAATGTGTAAGGTGATATCGTATGCCTCATGTCATGGGGTGCAAGCCCAATGCACTTTTAAGTCAGGTGCAAAGCAAAAGGAGTTGATCCTGCATGCCTGTGCCTTTCACAATCAGCAGAAACGCTGAAATTGATTATTTATTGCATGACTGGACTGATGTCATCATGTACCCAAGCACTGCTGGTTTACTTGCATTTTAGCTGTTTGGCCGGAATGGATCCTGCTGTGCGGCCTTTGGTGAACATTTCCTGCGCTTGTGGAGCAGCGGAAAAGGACCATGCTTATGCATTGTTCCCAGTTTGAAAGTTGAGAGTTGACTTCCGTGACTTGGAAAAGGAATAGAGAGCGTCAAAGGTTTGATTTTCGAGTGCTTGTCGCAAGTGTAATCAGCCATGGCCACTCCCCCCACCCCCCCCCCCCCACACACACCCACGCACGAGCAGGTGGTTTTGCAGGATCCTTGCACACAAGGTCTTTGTTCTCATGGTCTGTGTTTGTTCCTGATCTCTTTTTTATTATTGAAGGGCTGACGGGCGAAAGAGTTTGCGGGACAACAATGACCATAACAAGAACCACTGACCGCCGATTGAGTTACACTTCAGGGCAAGCACTGTGCAGCCGTCACAATGGCACGATTCTCTCTGAAACGTCGTTCCGGGATGGATGCGCAAATGGCTTGACAGACGCTATCAGAGTGGCGTGGAGAGGATTACCTGACAAGAATATCACAGCGTTGACTACATTTGGTATCAGAGTAGACCTGTCTCGCCATTTCCTCGTAGTGTGCGAATTTCGTAAGTCCACCTTCAATCTCTTTAGAAGAGAGACTTCTTTTCCTTACACAAGCCAGCTTAAAAAAAAGCTGATAATGTGGTTTTAAAACCCTTTACCGTAAATAGGATGAATCCGTTAAATTTGACACAGTTCACCTACCATCGAAAAACCCATGTGCTGCACATCAGTTCTTTGGCCTGAAAATCACGATTGAATGCGCTCCCTCATAAAAGCAGATTGTGAAATACTGAAAATTTGAAGAAGAAGCGCATAAAAAGAATACACTTGAGGCCTATAGTCGATTCATAAAAAGATGGACTTCTAGGTTATGGCCATAAATGGGTTAATCTTTCAGTTTTCTTAGAATTCGTGTTCTGCAATCCCTTGTGGAATCCTCTTCCCATTGTGTTTCTCACGTGTATTTCTCCCAAAAACAAGGCCTAACAAGAATAGGATTTCGGCCAAGTTTTCTAGTACTGAATTAGGAAAACCATGAAAATCCAGGCCATTTGACTCCGCCTGAGACAGTACATTGCGCGGTTTGAACCCCAGTTGAGGTACCTTTTTTGGACCCTTTTTCAATTTTATAATTTCGCATCACTTCACTGTGTACGGTAAAGTCACGAAAAATCGCCATTATTTGTTCGGTTTGCATGGACGCGATGATTCATGTGATTTTGTTTCCTGATGTTGAGCTTTCTGCTCCGCCAATGCTGTTCTTCAAATCTGTCGCAATCAATTCTCTTCTTCGTACCTTTCTTCGGGAATTCAGTTGTGGCTTTGGGGCCTTGTTTTTGCCTCGAACCATAGCTCCACCAATCTACCCTCTAGAGTTGCAGTCCAGGGATCCATGGTCCTTGGAGAAAATCAAACTGAACTGTTGGATAGACAGATACTGTCAAAACCACAGCCAAGGCGAAGGTATACACATAGAAACAAGAGAGAACATCGATATCAGTTCCTCGGCCTCATGTCCACTACATTGTGTGCTCCAAGTGATCTCAAAATCTTTTTTTAATTCCGCCCTTCAGCAGCTTGTAAAAGCTGTGGCTCAAACAAGCAGAAAAACGGCAGAAAGTCGCCGTTCAGCCATTTCCATGGTAATAGTGACGTACACAAGTGATTTTTTGGCTGAATGGCGGAATCGAGCTCAGGTGACCATGGCCTGACAAACAGTTCACTAACAGCATTGAACACAGCCCTTCTTTCACTTTGTGAATACAATAGACCAATTAAAAATGACTAAATTCTGCAGGGATCGACCTGCAATCTGGGGGAGCTAAGCCGAAAGTATGTCATCACTGCATCTGTCGCTATGGCAACGTCAGCATACCATTGGCGATTTGGCGAGTTTGACTGATCGTATGCAAGCAAGAGAAACGCCTTTCGAACTGATATCCTCCGATTTTCTCAAGTCAAACTGCGCTGCAAAGCTGAGATCCACGCGCTTCAGTGGATGTCGATCATGTATGCGCCGTGCCAAAGGGGAATACCCTGGCACGCTTCTCAAAAAACGAAGTCATGAACAAAAAATCCGCGTTCCCTTTGGCCCGTGATTTCCGTGTTCATGTTGTTGCCGCTCGTATGCAAGCAAGAGAAAAGCCTTTCGAACTGATATCCTCCTATTTTCACAATTAAAACTGCGATGCAAAGCTGAGATTGATGAGCTTCAGTGGATGTCCATCACGCATGCGCCGTGCCAATGGGAAATACCCTGGCACGCTCCTCAAAAACGAAGTCAGGAACAAAAAAAGTCACGTTCCCTTTGTCCCGTTATTTCCGTGTTCATCTTGTTGCCGCTCAAAGAATTCTCTTCCTATCGCGAAGAACGTTATACCCCGGAAAGATGAGGTCAACTACTTTCCAACGGTGGATTGAATGTCGCGATGCATTTATGTTTGACGAAGTTACGAAAGTTTGTACACTGGTCTATGCACTGCGATATATAGAGCATTTGTTTTGTTTTGCGATATATCGCACATTTTTTTTGCTAGTTTACTCGTACGTAGTGGATCAGTGTAGCAGCACGGCTGGAAAAACCGCTCCCAGGCAGGACTTAACCAGGTACCTCTCGTATCTCAATCATGGTCTTCGACCAACCCACTGTGTCAACTGGGAACTTGTGGCCAGGCACAAGGGGTACATGGATGCAGCTAATGGGGTCGTTTTCGGCACTTGTGCCAGTGGTTGTGAGACGTATCCACTCAGCCCCACCGTTAGGCGCTGCATCTGCCCCTAGGGTTTGTCGGTTGTTAGCGGCCTTTGTCCCTTCGGGAACGGACACGATAATGTACTTTACTTAGGGAATCAGGTCATGCATAAAGCGCGAGTTAACTCGTACTCAGCACGCAAAGGGTTAAGGTTCTTCATCATATGCCCGAGTCCCTTTCTAGGATCGCTCTTTATAATGTATTATGTTACCCTCGACCAGACCTCTCCTAGAAAGACCACGAATCATGATGTGCTGTCTTATCCATCATATTCGACTTTTCAAAATACAGTCAAATCTGTCGTAAGCGACCGCCCCTTGGTGCAAGAAAAAGCGGTCGCTTACGGCAGATGGTCTCTTACGGCAGATGTATGGTAAATCCGGCATACCAGGTATATGCTTTCATGTACTCAAATCGACGAGAATAATGTGATTTTTTATATCATTTTATTGGATATTCAACGACGACCATACCCATAGTATGCGTATGCGACACGGCAGTAGATCGACACTGCCTGGACTTGAGAGCTACAGCACAGCCTCAGTACACATGCCTTGGTACAGGCCAGGCGCCAGTCGATCGCACTTGCAAGACAGCGCATTTTCACACTTTGCAGTTGACAGCGCACTGGTAAGTACAATTTCGCACCTAAGTCCTTACTGAACCTGGGTCGCGGTCGCTTACAGCAGATTTGAATGCAGCCACCGTGCATGAAAATCGCGGTCGCTGGTCGCGCAAAGCAGATGGTCGCTCTGGACAGATCAGTTTGTATGTGAAACCGTCGGTGCACGGAAAATCGGTCGCTAACGGTAGATGGTCGCCTACAGCAGAGGTCGCTAACGGCAGATTTGACTGTACCGGGCAACTTAATCCTCATTCCGAGGTTGTGGGCTCCAAACGGACCCCAGGGGTCTGGTTTTTGGTATATCTTTATTTTCTTTCATGATATCAGGATGAAATTACAGGTATTCCTCAAAAACTATATGAGAGAAAATCAAATTGTCTGTGTTAGAAGTTCTTGATTGGTTTAAATTTTATTTCGGAAATCATGCATGGGGTCCGTTTGGACCCCAGAAACCTATATCGTAGTCAGGTACAATAGGTGGTATGTTGTTGATCACCTATGGCTTAGCTCTCCTCAATTCATTCTAACATGGATATTTTGGGACCAAATCAGAACCCTGAAATCCTCTTCCACTTGAACAGCAGGAGTGCCTAAGATAACCTCGACAAATTGTGTACAACATACACCTCAAAGCGAAAGACTCAACGGTGCCTCCCGGGGCAATTTTTCTACCCATAAGATGTAGCCTGCAGGATATATCATCGGGTTGTCCAACAAGCCTGCCTGCATCACCAATGAGAAGGCATCCAGGCATCTCATTTTCTTGGGGCAGCTCGATACCGATTTTGTGAATGCTCGTATTCAGTGTCGCGTTGACACATGTCACGAAAGCCAGGGAGCTTTGATATTGCTTAGATTTCCAGAACTTTCTTCACCTGGTGCTGCTCCAGGACAAGGCAGTCGCCGAAGGTGCCCACTGTGACCACAAACAAGGTCAGGTCCTTCCTTGCATATTACGTTTTCATCAATCGTTGAGCACACGGCATTGTTCTGTACAATCTGCCATATGTCGGGAGTCCAGGGGAATATTTTGCTTCCGCCTCGTGAATGGTCTACAAGAGCTTCATAAGGGACTATACAACCCAGTATATTCTTCAAACTATTTGGAGAATCAAACATACGTATCCGGGGTGCGAATGGAATCCGCATTCGTGTCCATTTATCTAGCCTGTTTGAGCAGCAGTTGCCCAAATATCTAGTTCCAGTTCCATAAAAACAACGCAGTTCGTGAATGTGTGTCAGAGAAGAAAACATCTGTGTGTGCCAACACAAACATTATTCGTGTTGTTCCACATTCCACCACTTTTCCGCGATATAATCGGAAAGACTCAATTGCTGGTTTCGTGTCTCCTTCACGTCATACTCCACCTTTCTGCTGAAAAACGTAGTTAGTTTTCAGCAGTGATGTACGTGAAGAGGAACACAAGAAAAAAAACTCTTAAATAGGTCTGAGCTCATGGATACTCAGCGAAATACGGTTGGGGTCCGAACGGACCCCAATATACTGGGAATGTACGAAACAAGTCAACATGAATGAGGGTTTAACAATTGGCGGGGTGCATGAACGCTACGGCAACGTGAGCATACAATTGGCGATTTGGCAAGCTTGGCTTATCATACGGAAGCGAGATATATGCCATTCAAACCAATATCAAATTCTCTTTATTCAGGACCCTACTTGAAACGTCGATACCGTTGCCCTTTAACCCCTATGGAGCCCTTACATTCAAATCTGGTATACCGTCGATTGACTAAAACGCTCGTAACTCACTCAAAACTGGACGGATTTCTAAGAAGCCGAAGAGCTCAGCTTTCTAATGCAACAATCGCCGAAGACCTACGATGTCGCGTTTCAGAAATATCTCGCTCTACATTTCAGTCACGGGAAAAGTCGAACTTTTTCGCAGTGACTGGCCATGATTTCGGGATTTCTCCTTGAATTACATGCTCCCTGCACATGGCTAGCTTAAAATTAAACTCAGTGCAAAAATGTCACTTATTGAAACACCATGAATTCTGTCAAAAATAACAAATTTGATTATTGGATAAACAACCTACTTCTATTCTTTGCCCATTTTTTTAGCATGCCTTCCTCGACAAAGTGATCAAATGGAGTCTAAACCAACGGCTAGTGATATCTCTTGTCGATACGATGGTAAGCACCGTGCAGCAGAACCAGTGTGCGGAAGCACACAGAGGCAAGCAAACATATTCAGGGACTGGATTCTTGATAATCCGTAGGATCTTTTCAAATACTCTAACTGATTTGAAAAAAACATCTCGCTGCTTTTCTTTTTCACCCCCCACCCCCATCCCCCCCCCCCCCTGGAACCACACAGTTTTTTTTGTCATCTACGTCTTTCTTGTCATTGTTATCTGCCAGCAACAAAAACAAAACTAAAAACCTGTTTTACTATCCTTGCCTGTCTTTAAGCACATCGATGACTTCTGTTCCATACCCAGTGTATCGTGAAGAAATAATGACCCTCGCTCACTCAAATAAAAACAAGTCTCTAGGGGCCTCTACACATAGACAAGCATCAGATTCTATTTTCATTAGCCATTCTTTTTAATTTTTCTCCAAGGCGTTTACCACGATGGCAGTGAGTTAAACTGACTGCCATAATTAATATTATATGACTGCTACCTGTTGGTTTCGTTGTGTGTGTGTTTGTGCGGGTGTGTGTTCGTGTGTGTTTGTGTGTTTGTGTGTGTGTGTGTGTGTGTGTGTGTGTGTGTGTGTGTGTGTGTGTGTGTGTGTGTGTGTGTGTGTGCATGTGTGTTTATGTCACTGCAGAGCTTATTGGCAACAGAATTTGCAGAGCATCTGGTAGCATAACTAGAATATCAATTCCTGGCCTCAAATTGAATTACACTTCTGCTCAAGCACTGTGTAGCAGGCACAATGGTAGAATCCTCTCTGAAGCGTCGTTCCACGCTTTGTGCTCGGTTGGTTTAACCAACATACACGCAATTGCATGGAGAGGATTGCCAAAAGGAAATGTAGCACGTAACTCCAACGGCCAGGAAAGTGGCCTGGCTCAGTTTTTGCGTGTTGTGTGTGAAATACGTAAGTCGGTCTTCATTTTCTTTAGTAAGGCCGTCATCACACCACGTTCTCCGACTCCCGTTTACGTCTACGTCTATGGTGAAAAAACCAAAACGGGTGGTCGTGTCATCAGACAGGCACAGTACTTGACGCGTACACGCAGTCAGGTTTTGTGGAGAAATTTGAACCCACGTACATCGAAGTACAGGGTCGCTCGGAAAAAGGCTGGGGGAGATACGCACGTTCATACAAAAAGTCGTATACCCCCCCTCTCCATACCACGTCCACGTCTCCCGTTTCCTCTGCTCCCGTTTTCACCCCGTATACGGATCATCATGACAACCGACCAAAAACTCCTTACGTGGACGTAGACGCAGCGCTTTGTACCATGGTGTGATGACAGCCTTAGGGTTGTGTGTCTTCAAAATTGTGAAGGACGCCTCGTGCAGCTTCAATGAGGGTAATTCATTTACAGGCAACTTGTACACACTCAAATAAATACAGCACTTCTCACGTCAACTAATTTATTTAACGGTTCGATCGGCGTGGTGCATGAACGCCAGGGCAACGTGAGCATACAATTGGCGATTTGGCAAGTTTGGCTTATCATACGGAAGCAAGAGATATACCATTCAAACCAATATCAAATTCTCTTTATTCTGGACCCTACTTGAAACGTCCATACCGTTGTCCTTTAACCCCTATGGAGCCCTTACATTCAAATCTGGTATACCGTTGATTGACTAAAACGCTCATAACTCAATCAAAACTGGACGGATTTTTAAGAAGCCGAAGAGCTCAGTTTTCTAATGCAACAATCGCCGAAGAGCAACGATGTCGCGTTTCAGAGATATCTCGCTCTACATTTCAGTCGCGGGAAAAGTAGAACTTTTTCGCAGTGACTGGCCATGATTGCGGGATTTCCCCTTGGATTACATGCTCCCTGCACGGGGCTAGCTTAAAATTAAATGCTCGTAACTCAATCAAAACTGGACGGATTTCTAAGAAGCCGAAGAGCTCAGTTTTCTAATGCAACAATCGCCGAAGCTACGATGTCGCGTTTCAGAGATATCTCGCTCTACATTTCAATCACGGGAAAAGTCGAACTTTTCGCAGTGACTGGCCATGATTGTGGGATTTCTCCATGATTTACATGCTCCCTGCACGTGGCTAGCTTAAAATTGAACTCCGTGCAAAAATGTTACTTATTAAAACACCCTGACTTCTGTCAAAAATAACAAATTCGATTATTGGATGAACAACCTTCTTCTATTCTTTGCCCATTTTTTAGCATGCCTTCCTCGACAAAATGATCAAATGGAGTCTAAACCAATGGCTAGTGATATCTCTTGTCGATATGATGGTAAGCACCGTGCAGCAGAACCAGTGTGCGAAAGCACACAGAGGCAAGCAAACATTTTCAGGGACTGGATTCTTGATAATCACTAGGATCTTTGCAAATACTCTAACTGATTTGAAAAAAGTCTCTTTGCTTTTCTCCCCCCCCCCCCCCCCCCCGCCCCGGAACCACTCAGTCTTCTTTGTCATCTAGGTCTTCCTTGTCATTGGTATCTGCCAGCAACTAAAACTAAACAAAACACCTGTTTTACTATCCTTGCCTGTCTTTATGCACAATGATGAATTCTGTTTCGTACCCAGTGTATCCTGAAGAAATAATGACCCTCGCTCACTCAAATAAAAACATGTCTCTAGGGGCCTCTATACATAGACAAGCATCAGATTCTATTTTCATTAGCCATTCTTTTTAATTTTTCTCCAAGGCGTTTACCGCGATGGCAGTGAGTTCAACTGGCTGCCATAAATAATATTATATGACTGCTACCTGTTGGTTTCGTCGTGTGTGTGCTTGTTCGGATGTGTGTTCGTGTGTGTTTGTGTGTATGTGTGTGTGTGTGTGTGTGTGTGTGCATGTGTGTTTATGTCACTGCAGAGCTGATTGGCAACAGAATTTGCAGAGCATCTGGTAGCATAACTAGAATATCAGCTCCTGGCCTCAAATTGAATTACACTTCTGCTCAAGCACTGTGTAGCAGGCACAATGGTACAATCCTCTCTAAAGCGTCGTTCCAGGCTTTGTGCTCGGTTCGTTTAACAGACTTTAACAACGTTGCATGGGTAGGATTGCCAAAAGGAAATGTTGCACTTAACTCCAACTCGCAAGAAGCGAGCCTAGCGCAGCTTTTCCATGTTGTGTGTGAAATACGTAAGTCGGTCTTCATTTTCTTTAGTAAGGGTTGTGTGTCTTCAAAATTGTGAAGGACGCCTCGTGCAGCTTCAATGAGAGTAATTCATTTACAGGCAACTTGTACACACTCAAATAAGTACAGCACTTTTCACGTCAACTAATTTATTTAACGGTTCGATCGGCGTTGTGCATGAACGCTAGGGCAACGTGATCATACAATTGGCGATTTGGCAAGTTTGGCTTTTCATACGGAAGCGAGAGATATGCCATTCAAACCAATATCAAATTCTCTTTATTCTGGACCCTACTTGAAACGTCCATACCGTTGCCCTTTAACCCCTATGGAGCCCTTCCATTCAAATCTGGTATAACGTTGATTGACTAAAACGCTCATAACTCAATCAAAACTTGACGGATATTTAAGAAGCCGAAGAGCTCAGTTTTCTTATGCAACAATCGCCGAAGAGCTACGATGTCGCGTTTCAGAGATATCTCGCTCTACATTTCAGTCGCGGGAAAAGTAGAACTTTTTCGCAGTGACTGGCAATGATTGCGGGATTTCCCCTTGGATTACATGCTCCCTGCACGTTGCTAGCTTAAAATTAAACTCAGTGCAAAAAACGTCACTAATTGAAACATCCTGAATTCTGTCAAAATTAACAAATTTGATTATTGGATAAACAACCTTCTTCTATTCTTTGCCCATTTTTTAGCATGCCTTCCTCGACAAAATGATCAAATGGAGCCTAAACCAATGGCTAGTGATATCTCTTGTCGATATGATGGTAAGCACCGTGCAGCAGAACCAGTGTGCGGAAGCACACAGAGGCAAGCAAACATATTCAGGGACTGGATTATTGATAATCACTAGGATCTTTTCAAATACTCTAACTGATTTGAAAAAAACATCTCGTTGCTTTTCTTCCCCCCCCCCCCCCCCCCCCGCCCCCGAACCACGCAGTCTTCTTTGTCATCTAGGTCTTCCTTGTCATTGGTATCTGCCAGCAAATAAAACTAAACAAAACACCTGTTTTACTATCCTTGCCTGTCTTTAAGCACATCGATGACTTCTGTTCCATACCCAGTGTATCGTGAAGAAATAATGACCCTCGCTTACTCAAATAAAAACAAGTCTCTAAGGGCCTCTACACATAGACAAGCATCAGATTCTATTTTCATTAGCCATTCATTTTAATTTTTCTCCAAGGCGTTTACCACGATGACAGTGAGTTCAACTGGCTGCCATAAATAATATTATATGACTGCTACCTGTTGGTTTCGTTGTGTGTGTGTGGGGGGGGGTGTGTGTATGTGTGTTTGTGCGAGTGTGTGTGCGGGTGTGTGTTCGTGTGTGTTTGTGTGTTTGTGTGTGTGTGTGTGTGTGTGTGTGTGTGTGTGTGTGTGTGTGTGTGTGTGTGTGTGTGTGTGTGTGTGCGCATGTGTGTTTATGTCACTGCAGAGCTGATTGGCAACAGAATTTGCAGAGCATCTGGTAGCATAACTAGAATATCAACTCCTGGCCTCATATTGAATTACACTTCTGCTCAAGCACTGTGTAGCAAGTACAATGGTACAATCCTCTCTGAAGCGTCGTTCCACGCTTTGTGCTCGGTTGGTTTAACCAACCTATACAACGTTGCATGGGTAGGATTGCCAAAAGGAAATGTAGCACTTAACACCAACACGCGAGAAGCGAGCCTAGCACAGCTTTTGCATGTTGTGTGTGAAATACGTAAGTCGGTCTTCATTTTCTTTAGTAAGGGTTGTGTGTCTTCAAAATTGTGAAGGACGCCTCATGCAGCTTTAATGGGGGTAATTCATTTACATGCAACTTGAACACACTCAAATAAGTACAGCACTTCTCACGTCAACTCATTTATTTAACGGTTCGATCGGAGTGGTGCATGAACGCTAGTGCAACGTGAGCATACAATTGGCGATTTGGCAAGTTTAGCTTATCATACGGAAGCGAGAGATATGCCATTCAAACCAATATCAAATTCTCTTTTTTCTGCACCCTACTTGAAACATCGATACCGTTGCCCTTTAAAGGGGAAGTTAAGGCAAAAATTAAAATTCCACCAGTTGTAGTCTTCGGGGTGCTGAGTCGAATGGTCTTGGTCCGAGAAAGTTGAGACGCTCCCTTCCTACTTGAATCCCAATCGAACTCGCGCACTTCCACCCAAACTGGGTGACTGCGCCCTACTAGATGGGGATTTGTATGCAAAATGTCACTAAAAGCGCCATTTCGTTCTTATAAAAGCACGGATGACCGCGATCGGCCCATATGTTGTAGTCTTTTGGACGCTGAGTCGATTGGTTTTGGTCCGAAAAGGCTGCGATGCAGCATTCCTCCTTTATTCCCAATCGAACATGGTTGAACAAGCGGTCACGTGCTCCTGCGTACACCAGTCACCTGGTCACCGTGCCTACAGGGTCTTCATTTTCTTTAGTAAGGGTTTGCGTGTCTTCAAAATTTGAGGTTGAGGAATAGTCACTGTCAGGGATGCTACATCATCACCATCTTCATTCAGCTCCTCCGTCTCGACGTTTCCATAATCATCAATCTCATCATTGCCGTCCGCGTCACCTCCGTCAATCTCGCCATCCAATTCATCGCCGAGTTCCTTGTCGATTCTCTTCATTACTTCGTTCTTAGATCGTTGTTCAGTCGACTCCGCCTTTTGAATCATTCCCTGAACAATACGTCCAGTTTCTCCCTCAGAACCTGCAAAAGTCACTTTAGTTCCACAATTTCCAATGTACACTGTATCCTACCTAAAAGCTTATTTTCGTGTCGCTCTCATTCTGTGTACAGCTGTAAACTGTGCTGTACCTTCTGTTGGTAACGGCACTGCTGATAGCACCATGATCCGGTGGGGAAGCAATGTTTCCTTTTCATGCAATGAAGGCTTTTTGCTAGTCGGTGATGTCACATCAACTTGCACAGTTCATGGGAATCTCACATCATTACCGCTCTGTGAAGGTAAGTGCTGCTGCTAACACTAGTATAGGGCTGGCAACTGAAATCCGTCCCTGTGGCAGTGTGTAGTGCTGGGACTAGTGCTATCATAGTGGTCAGTGTTATGTTGTAGGGTATAGGCTATAGCATTACCGCCATCATACTATAGTGTAGAGTTTGGCACATTCCGTATCGTGTTATAAGCCGAGTGTCGCATCATGTAGAATCAGATTACAGATCTTCTGGAACCAAGCAGTTGCTCTGGCAAGCGTGGGCTACGGTACTACATTGGCGCAGTGAACCGGCAGTCAAGCATCTGGACGCTATGGCAAAGGGCCGGCCACCCAAGGAATTTCATCCTGACTTCGGACAAGACACGGGTGCCGGCTTCGACCTATGGCTGGAGGATGTGAACGACTACATGAAGATCTGTCAAGTTTCGACTCCAGAAGACACGAAGTGTCTCTTGTTGAATGTTGTGTTGTTGTATACTTTATTTATAGTGGAAATCAAAACAGGCAAAATGCCTAATAACATTGGACCCACTGTGAATAACATGTTAAAGGATATTGTGGAAAAAAGTAGATACAAGAGAAAAAGAGAAAGGAAAAATGACGGAAGGTTGGTTGCAACGAACCTGGCTGGTCTTGGGATCAGGAAGATTGTCATGGGTCTGGTTGTTCCCGCTCCAAGTGATGCAACACACGACGACCCAGGAGACACATACAAAGCCCTTACAGAGGCAGTCCGTGCTCATTTTTGCCCATCCAGGAACACGACGTCTGAGAGGCACAAGTTTCGGCAGATTAAACAGACGCCAGATGAATCTGTCTCCACCTTTGTTAGTCGGTTACGCGAGAAGGTGGAGTGGTGTGACTTTGCAGCGACAGACGTGGACTCGGTCGTCAACACACAGGTGCGTGACCAACTGATTGCAGGGTTGCGATTGCAGGAGCTGCGACGGGAACTGCTAAAGGAGACAAAGCTGACGCTAGCGGATGCCGTTTCGAAGGCTGTGACCCTAGAAGCATCTTTCTCTGACTGCAAGCTATACGAAAGTCGGACGAGTCCAGGAGGCTTGGAGACATCAGCGCCTAGAGGACCAGAATTGGCTGCTGTAGTTTTGGGCAGCGTCTCGGGTGGAATCGGAAGTGGCGACCGGCGCGCCATGGGGAAGACGTCCACCAAGAGCCTAGGATGCAAATACTGTGGTCGTGTACATGCCAAAGGCAAGCAATTTTGCTCGGCTGCACTTGTTAGGTGTCGGGACTGTGGCAAAGTAGGTCATTTCGCAGCAGTCTGCCTCTCCAGCAAAGCTCATGCGGTGCAGGATGAGGACAGTGAAGCCGCGCGAATTGTGTACGATTCGATTTACGCTTGCAGCGACAAGGCAGCCAGTGGTCAATTCACTATGACGCTCATGGTGAATGTCAGGCCGTGCGAGGGACTTCTCGATACCGGCGCAACACGGACAATCCTGACAGATGATGTGGTACAGCCCACTCGCTGCAGTGATAGTAAGCTGCGCACGTACAATGGCGGCGAAGTCAAGACGCTTGGCATGGCGGATGTCGATGTTGCCGTCGGGGAAAGGTCAATCCAATGCGAATGTTTCGTTGTACCGGCAGACCGGCGAACTGTACAGTTTGGCCAGGATGTTATCGCACAACTGGAGCTGCTGGTGAACACCCACCTGGCAGACACGGCATGGCTGGTGGACACTGCTCCCGCGTCCATCACCGTTGACCAGAAAGCACGGCCTGTGGCGCAGCCAGCTCGTCGTCCACCGTTCAGCCGCTGAGCGCCAAGGCTGACATCGAAAAGGAGCTGACGCGATTAGTGAATGCGGACATTATTGAACCAGTGAAAGAGGCGTCACCCTGGGTGTCGCCTGTCGTCCCTGTGCGTAAGTCGAATAGTTCACTCCGATTATGCGTAGATTATCGGCAATTGAACAAATCTATCATTAGGGAGCGGCACTGCTTACCTACTGTAGATGAGATCACGGGAGAGCTAGCAGGCGCGCAGGTCTTCTCAGTCTTGGATGCGGAATCTGGTTTTCATCAATTGGTATTAGAGGAAGAATCCTGATTCTTCACAACCTTTGCTTCGCATTGCGGCTTATACCGATTTTAGAGGTTGCTATTTGGCATCCCTTGCGCTCCTGAAATTTTTCAACGTGTTGTTTCTGACATCTTGGCTGGTTTACCCGGTATTACTGTCTATATAGACGACATCTCGATCTTTGGCAAGAATCAAGTGGAACATGATGCTCGTCTAGTGAGTGTTCTAGAGCGTTTGAGGGCAGCGAACCTCAAACTGAACTGGGACAAGTGTAACATCGGCAAGGATCAGGTGAAGTACCTCGGACACATGCAGCTGCTAACCAAAGACGGAGTTCAAGCCAATAGCAGCAAGCTCAGCGCTATTTCCGAGATGGCACCGCCAAAGACAGTGGCAGATGCTCAGCGCTTCCTGGGTATGGTCACCTACCTCGGAAAATTCGTGCCTTGTCTGACGGGTGCCACAGACCCTCTGCGTCGGCTGATGAAGCGTGAGCCATTCACTGTGGATGAGAGCCTGTTGAGCGCATTCGCAGCCGCCAAAGAAGCAGTGGTCTCCTCCCTACAGACGCTCGCTTATTTCCAGCCATCTATGGACGTAGCAACAGCCATCAGCTGTGACGCTTCACCCACCGGCCTTGGGGCGATATTATGGCAGCAGAGCGAGTCAGGTCAATGGCTGCCGATAACATGTGCCAGCCGCACACTCACAGACGTCGAGTCACTGTACTCTCAAATGGAGAGGGAGATGCTCGGGGTAGTGTTTGCGCTGACGCGGTTTCGTCAGTATGTCCTGGGTCTCCACGTGCAGGTACACACCGACCGCAAGCCTTTAATTCCGATTGTCCAGAAACCATTTGACGAAGTTCCCCCTCGACTCCAACGGTGGTTGGTGGCTCTTATGCCTCACGATTATACCCTGAAGCACGTGCCGGGTAAGGAGCTATTCTGCACTGATGCGCTGTCCAGAGCCCCAGTTCCAACAACGGATGCTTCGCCTGCAGAATCGCGTTCTCTACATGAGTATGTTGGTCTAGTGCTTGAGGCAGCCCCGGTCAGTCTCGACGACATTCGCTGTGCTGCTCGAGATGACCCAGTCGCAAGCAAAGTAACCCAACGCGTGCTGACTAATTCATGGCATGATCTCTCGTCGTGCGAGCAGCAGTACTACCTCATCCGAGATCAGTTGACTGTGGTCAACGGCATCTTGATGATGGGCGGGCGGTTCGTGATTCCGGAAGGAGTGCGATCAGCAATTATGACACTGGCTCACGAGGGGCATCCACGGCAAGAGGCGTTCTTAGATACTCTTCGCCAGAGAGTCTGGTGGCCAGGGATGACCGGAGACGCAGGAATCTTCGTGGAGCGTTGCTCTGAGTGCTGGAGAAGGCGCGCAAACAGTCCGCAGGAGATTCTACCGACAGAGATTGTTGGCGTCTGGAACAAACTGGCAATCGACATCGTGACAATTGACGGATATTCTATTCTTTCGGTCATCGACTACGGGTCTCGGTATCCTCTCCTCAAGATACTACGCTCGACTACCTCTGCTGCAGTCATCGAAGAGCTTGAGGACATTTTTGCTACTTTTGGCATACCCGATACCCTTGTTTCCGACAATGGGCCGCAGTTCGTCTCCGGGGAGATGGAGACTTTCCTCAGTCGCCTTTGCATTTCCCATGTTCGCTCCAGCCCATGGTACGCCCGCTCGAACGGCATGGTGGAGCGACTACACAGGGTGGTGAGGGAGAGATTGGCTGCTTTGAAAGCACACCTCCCATTCCGACGCCGGCTCAACCAAGTGCTGTTTGATATCCGCAGCTCGCGTGACAGGATGTTGGGCACATCACCGAGCGCAGCACTGTTCTCTCGGCAGCTGCGAACAAGAATCCCAGCTCGTATAGACCCTATGATCGTCAATCCACAGCATCAGTTGAAGGCTAAAGCAGGCATGGCCAACGATCACGATTCTCAACGAGGTGTACACATGCTACCTAACCTAAGGCCTGGCACGAAGGTTGTGGTGCAGGATGGCTACTGCGACACGGCAAGGCCGTGGACGGTGGTGAGTCAGCACGGTCGTCAGGTTGGAGTAACGGATGGCTCCCGATACCTACTCCGAAACCGGCAGCATGTCCGCGAGTACGTTAGCCCTCACAAACCCGTCGAGTGTCCGCCTATGCCATTATCACCTGAGTCGAGACAGGATACGTCTTCTGCGCAGAGGTCGGTGTTGACCCCTCCGCATCCAGTGGATTCACCCCCGGCGTCGCATCAGTCTTGTGTCACCCAGAATCCTGAGCTCCAAGATACATCCGAACGGTCGGCGACCAAACAGACCACTGCTGAGTGCGAACCCGTGGCATCCAGCAGCGGGGACCGCCGTTTCATAGATGGGGCAGTCACCCGCTCCGGACGGCAGATCAAGCTGACAGAGAAGGCCCGTCTGTATTCGGACAGTCTGCGCTAGACATTGTATGAGCTTTGATATTTACCACATTGCGTTACTTAAGTTCTGCTCAACCTTCATTGTGTTCTTCGCTTATACTTCTAGTCTTTCTGCTTATCTCTTCTTCATTGAGAGGGAGTAATGTAGTGCTGGGATTAGTGCTATCATAGTGGTCAGTGTTATGTTGTAGAGTATAGGTTATAGCATTACCGCCATCATACTATAATGTAGAGTTTGGCACATTCCGTATTGTGTTATAAGCCGAGTGTCGCATCATGCAGAATCAGAATACAGATCTTCTGGAACCAAGCAGTTGCTCTGGCAAGCGTGGGCTACGGTACTACACGGTGTGCTTGTATTGCGATTCCCAATTATGTGTACATGTTGTATTTCACACTGCCAGACACAGACTGCTATGTGCATAATCGGTTGTGCACTCAAGCATGAAAACTAGGGGTCGGATTTCAGGTGAAGTCGTGAAGTTTGGTTTAGTTTGAGCGAGATGGTGAACAAAAATGTATTATGAAGTTTTTTAGCGATTATGAGACACGTAAAGGCATCTTCTAGAGCACATAGAAGTGACCCTCGCATGCCTATGAAGCTGAGAACTACCAAGGACTCTTCGCTTGGCTCAGGCCTTTCCAAGAAGCCGTAGATCATGGAAATCCATAAACGTAATCAAAAATGGCGGAAGCTTTTGCTCCGCGACTTGCATGCAGGGTTCAAACTGAAAGTACATGTACCGTAAAGTACCGCCAGAGCGCCCCGTCTCGAGAGAGCGCCCCACCTTGATTTTACAGCCAAGGGAAGAAAACCGTATGGCAGAATGCTACTAAGTTTGTACGATGTGAGAACCTTCGTGTACTAAGGTCACACTTGGTGTGCTTTTATGTGGAGCTCGAAGGTAAACTGGGTACGGATTGACTGCACAATGTGCAATGTTTGTACAAGGTCCGTGTCGTATGACCTACAGACAGGAATCCACCTCCACAAGGCGGCCACGAAAGGACGAGATGGTGGGGCGCTCTGGCGGTACTTTACGGTATGTGCGCGGATAGCTTAGCCAGCAAGGGGAAACTAGGCCAGCAGTGAAAGCTTATTTTCGTGTTGCTCTCATTCTGTGTACAGCTATAAACTGTGCTGTACCTTCTGTTGGTAACGGCACTGCTGATAGCACCATGATCCGGAGGGGAAGCAATGTTTCCTTTTCATGCAATGAGGGCTTTTTGCTAAAGGGTGATACCACATCAACTTGCACAGTTCATGGGAATCTCACTTCATTACCGCTTTGTGAAGGTAAGTGCTGCTGCTAACACTAGTATAGGGCTGGCAACTGAAATCCGTCCCTGGAGCGGTGTGCCTGTATTGCAATTCCCAATTATGTGTACATGTTGAATTTCACACCACCAGACACAGACTGCTGCATGCATAATGGGTTGTGCACTCGAGCATGAAAACTAGGGGTCGGATTTCAGGTGCCAACAATACGGATAGTTCATTAGAATGGTAGCATGTAGGCAGTGTCAAGGCCACTCCGCATCCTGGTGCACAATAATTCTTTCGGAATCCTGGTCTTTCTTATCAAACATACACAATAACACAAAATGAACAATGTTTGAACTTCTGAATATACCTGCAGTGCTGCTACATGCTTATTTTTGCCTATACCAAGCTGGCTTACACTGACGAAACCACACACCCTTCCAGTGCAAATGACGATATATCTCGGTGTGTAAATGTGTAAAGTGTACCTGAACTGCGGATGACGAGATGTCTCGCTCCACTGCCCACGCTATAGTGTGAAGTGCAGACATCACTGTACAAACTGCCCTAACTTTTGTCAACAGCGGCCGATTTCCAAACACGATACACCAGGGTTGTGTGAAACGTTTGTCAAGCTATGTTACTGATGTTTGGAAATAATTCCGTCAATCTCTACAAAGTGCAACAAGGCGCATTTGAACCCATTTGCTCTGTTTGGCTCCGTTACAATATGCAATTGCTGTTATGATGGTTATCCATCAAAAGCTGTTGCAGACTATCCTGTCAAGCCAGTACCTCACCAGGAGAACAGATCAATTGCCTCACCTTCTATTGCTGCTGTTGCAATTGAAGATTCTGCAAGGACTGCTTGCAGTCTGATGTGGAATCTGAGTTACACAAGGAGTGGAGGCAGAGAATGTGACAGTGTGTTTGGCCTAATTCGCTCCTAAACCCATTCAAAGAAAATTTTCAAACTCCGCCACCATATTACTCCCGAACTCCAGACCTTCTTTGGCCTTTTTCGGAGCTCTTGACTTACATGTATGTGACAGTGTGGGGGGAGGGCATAAGTCTATTCACAGACATCACTGACAACTGGGAGGGAACACACTGTCACATTCTCTGCCTCCACTCCTCGTGTAACTCAGATTCCACATCAGACTGCAAGCAGTCCTTGCGGAATCTTCAATTACACTTCGGAGCTCCGGCTTCGAATGTGACAGTGTGATGTTCAAAGTGATATACCCAGAGCACAAGCCTGATGGAACCCAACCTGCGTTGGCCATTAGGTACAACAGACAACAAGTCTACAAGACAGTGCTATATTTATATACTAGTTACAGTAACTACACAGGACCCTAATGGAAAAAGGAACGGGTCATACCAGGAATGGTCCAAACTTGCATAAAGACCAAAGCAGAGGAAAGCGCGACAACTGAGCCAAAGTTGTCCGCAGAGCAAATATTGCACGAAAGTGAGCCAGAGAGAGAGCTAGAGTGAACAGAGTCATGATTGACGAGAGTCCTGATGAGAGGTTATCTCATTGCCAGACGAGAGGACAGCATCCGTGAACAGCTGTGAACTGGGACGATAATAGTGCTCAATGAAAGTATGCTGACCACTCCAATCAGCTGCGGCGAGTACCTCAGCCATCGTGACACCAGCCACGGTAGCCGCCGTTGTGGAAGCACCACAAGTTGAATGCGCTGTAAATGTGCTCGAGATGCCAGCTTCCTTCAGCACGGTCTTTAGCCAGCGAGCAAGCGTAGCAGAGCTGAAAACCTGATGAGGAGGGCGAGTTGATACAAAGAGCCCAGTGTCAGCAGCTGACAGCAAAGAAATAGTGCGGGACAAATACTCATCCAGACAGACCACTGGGCACAGTGTAGACGCCTGTGAAAACTGAGGCAGCGCAAATTTACAAACAAACAAACTCTTAGTGGGGCGTGTCAAGATGAACTGCACGCCATCCGGCTTCCTACGCATACTCTGCATGGAGAGTGCATGCAACGTCGAGACTCCTGGGGCTCTGGCCAGGGCGATGAGCATCACCAGCTTCTCAGACAGCTGGCCAAGCGAGACAGATTGATTATCAAGACTGGCAAGGTATTGCAGGACAGATGCAACACACCAGGTCTCACTGTAGCGCAGTTGCGGAGGGCGCTCGTTATAGACACCGGCCATGACGCGCCCAACTGTAGGGGACTGGCCAATGGGCAACTCATCTGCACGTACCGGTAACGTGGACAAAAGTGCTGAACGATAGACATTCAGTGTTCGATACTGCTTGCCGCTCTCGAATTGGGAAGCTAGAAAGTTGGCTACCCGCACTTCATCAGCTTCCAAGGGATCAAGTGATTCCCGCTGACACCAGCGAATCCAGATGTTCCAGGCCGACTCATAGCTGGACTGGGTTGATGAGCGCCACAATGAAACCCTTAGACGGGAAGCGTGTGCTGAAAGGCCGCGACTTCGTGCGGCCTCCCGTATAGTGGCCAGACGGCTAGTTGCAGCCGGTTGGCCTCCATCGGATGTGATTCGCCGAATGGACCCAACACGGGATCCTGTATCTCCGGCAGCCGCCACGGGTGGCTCCGTAACATGGACAACAGCTGAGGATAATAGGCCTGACCCATCCATGCTGGTGCTACTAGTACGGCATTGGCAATTTGGTGGTACTGGATGAACTGGAGACAATGGCTGACTAATGCTATCGGGGGAAAGAGATAGCCGTCCTCCCACATGTGGCTGGGCAGCGAAAGCGCATCCACTGCTACTGCGTCCGGGTCCGGATACCAGCTGACATACTGGGGAAGTTGGCTGTTGTGTCTCGATGCGAACAAATCGCAGAGAAGTGTACCCTCGTGCGTCACAATCAAGTGAAACAGGTCGCTGTCCAGCTTTCAATCGCTGCTGTCCACCAGTAGATGACGGGAGAGGTAATCTGCGGTCGTGTTGCTGGCACCCGGCACATGCACTGCAACCAGGAACAGCCGACAAGCATACGCCCAATCCCAGATCTCCCTCGCCAACTTGCACACCAGGAACGAGTGTGTGCCCCCTTGCCGATTGATATACGCTACGGCCGTGATGTTGTCGATCTCCAGACGGAGCGTTTGATCTGTCAGGTCGGGACACAGCGTCTTCAGCCCCAGAAAGACCGCTTTCAACTCTTTCCAGTTGATGTGCCGATCGTCGTGGATTGTCCAAGGGCCGCCTGTGACCTGGCCGTTGCACGTCGCACCCCAACCATGGTTGGATGCATCGGTGGTCAGAGTCAGGGAGGGCGGTGCGATCTGAACTGGCCTGCACCGTTGTGCTGGAGTCAGGTGAATCCACCATGAGAGGTCGTCTTGGGCATCGTCCAGTAAGGCAATGATCTCCTGTTCGTCCGTTATCTGGTTCTGAACAAACTGCAACTTCCGGGACCTCGCTTGCGCTAGTGGTACCGCCTTTGTCGCGTCTTGCATCTTCCCTAGCAAATGCCGTAGTGCCGAGAGCCTGGCAGTGCCTTTGTTCAGCATTTGGCGACAGTCCTTGCGTATGCCCTCGTACTTCCGATCTGGAAGGTGAAACTCCATGGACAGCGAGTTGACTGTTATGCCGAGGAACTCCAGAGATTGCACTGGCGTCAGGATCGATTTGTCCCTGGAGATGATGAAGCCCAGGTGCTCCACTAGAAATGCTGCTGCGTTCACCGATTGCTTGGCTGCCTCTGCTGTGGCAGCTATGAACAACCAGTCGTCCAGATACACCACTAGGAGGATTCCCAGAGATCTGAGAAATGCTGCCACCGGTGCCAGGATCTTGGTGAAAGTGCGGGGGGCATCCGAGAGCCCGAACGGCAAGCATCGGTATTGCCATGTCTCTTCCCGCCAGCGAAAACGGAGCCATCTTCGGCTATACGGGTGGATGCGGACAGAATGGAACGCATCCTTGAGGTCCAGCTTGCACATGAAGTAACCTTGCTGGAGAAGATCGGCGGCATGATGGAGTGACTCCATCTTGAAATACTCTGTCTATACATGCTGGTTGAGGGATTTCAGATTGAATACAGCCCACCAACGACCGTCGGACTTTGGGATGACAAAGTGCTGGCTCAGATACTCCATCCCTGGCTCTTGCAGTGCTCTCTCTATGGCTCTTAGAGACAGCATCTTCTGGAATTGCTCGTCTAATCCTGTTTGCTCTGCTGGTGCCAGATGGTATGGCTGTGGCAACCGATCCTGGTGTGGCTGGCTGCTCATTGATAGGCGATAGCCTTCCACTGCTGCTAGGACCCTGTGTGATTAATTTCCAATTGTGCAATGCATGACAAATTCGGCCTGCCGGAGAGGAATCCGGTAGGCTGTGCAGATTCAGCTGCGCATTCTGCACTATCGCAGGAACTTCTCGCTGATCTGCAGGACAACCCTGGGCTGCTAAGCCGATGGGTTTGATCTCCTCTGCGGAGACGGGCCGGAATGCTGCTGCTGCTGCTGCGGCTGGGACCGTGGTGGGTAAGGCCGGAATCGGCGGCCGTGATCTGGATAACCCCGGCCGGAACTGTGGGGTGGCCCGGACCGGTTGCTGTCGCGATAGCGCGACTGAAGTGAGAATGGTGCCCGGCCCCGTTGGGCTCTTTCCGGGGCTGCACTAGCGGGCTTAGTTAGGCGAACCGCATCCTGCAAAGCTGTTGACGCCTTGACCTTCTCGGTCAAAGTCGCCGTGAACTTGTCTCCAAACAAGCACTTGCCTTTCTCAGGCAACTCATCCTTCATTAATGTGGCTACCTCTTTGCCACCAGCCTCCAAGACCGTCTGCTGCCGTGCCTGGGTGAGCAAGGCATTGACATTGCCCATCAGAACGAGTGTACGCTGTGCAATGTTCATTACGTCTGCCACCTCGACAGTGTCATGGTCAGTGTCCAGTAGTGAAGCCCAGGTGCACGTCAGTGGGCCCACCGATGCATGCAATGCTTGCTGCACCAAAGAAAGTCTCCCATCAGCAACTTTAGGCAGCTGGTGCCCTATCCAGCTCTTTACCGACTCATCGATCTTGGGGGCAATCAACGCTTCTGTGGCAGGACGCGGATGCAACGTGAGCATAGACTTTCGCTCTTCGTCCGTCAGGGCACGACGGAAATGAGTTTCTATGTAGTCTGTGATGACAGACGGAGCTCGTATAAGGTACTTGCCGGATGTGTCCACCTCGGCACGTGGATCAAAAGCCTGAGGCTTAGTCATAGTCAGGGTAAGATCTCGCCGATCTTCCGAACTGACAGAAGGCTCCAATGCCTGAGCCGGAGGCCCGGCGGCAAGAAGATCTCGCTGATCCTCAGAAGCCAAATTTTCAGGAGCAGACGCCCTGAGTGACCCAGATCTCGCTGACCTGGCACCAGAGCCGCTCGGAACCTGGTCACCACTGGAACTTTCCAGGGTACCATCATCCATAACCCCATCCATGTCACCGGAAAGGGGCACGCCACAAATCGGACTACAAACTGCAATAACTCAAAAATAAATCGAAGAAGAAACGTCCACCATGTGGAGCAAAGAAAAAGGCCAAAGAAGGTCTGGAGTTCGGGAGTAATATGGTGGCGGAGTTTGAAAATTTTCTTTGAATTGCTATGGTTTTAGGAGCGAATTAGGCCAAACACACTGTCACATTCGAAGCCGGAGCTCCGAAGCGTAACTACAGTAGAACCTGTCAAGGCAACCACCTGTCCTAGAGGGCCACTGAAACCAGGACCGAGGGATGCTATTTCCAGTCAAATGACCCTGGATAAGGAGACCACCTGGTAACAGAGACCACGTTTTGACGGTCCCATGAGTGGTCGTCTTAGACAGGTTTCACTGTACCCAACCTCAGTAAAGTGAATGTTGGAAATGAAGTACATGTTCATGTACATGACCGGTCAGAACACCAGGCGCGTGCCCCGTATGGGTCCCTGGGTTCCCGGACCCCCCCCCCCCCTTTTCGCTCAAAATGCAGGATTTGGCTTCATTTTTTGAAAATTTCCCGGGGGAGGCCCCTTGACCCCCCCCCCCCCCCCCGGAAGGGCACCGGCGCAGGCGCCTGAACATGGCTACTAGAGTTGCCTGTTTATAGCACATTAACACGATTTCTGGTGGCACCAAACACACTGATCTTTCAAAATCATTGCAAAATGAACAATTCAGTGACATGACTCCTGACCATTTATTGCATTGCATCATTGTCAAATTTAATCTGATGGTCGTGAAACGAATTTACAATACTCTATAAAGGCTAGACATCATTTCGCAATAAAAAAATCAATTTCACCAAAACAGCCCCGAAGGTCAATCTTCTAAGATACTGGGCCAAATAATCTTTTACTTCACCTCCATTCACAATACATCAAACATCCTGGATTATACCACAGACAGTTATTCTTTACAAATATTCCCGGGGGGGGGGCATCATCGTATCCATAATCATGCCCTCCTTGGCGAACATTTGGAAACAACTGCAGTACGTGTGTTGCGAAATAGAGGTGCAGGAAAAGATGACAGGGCAAAAGAAGAGCTTCAAAGTTCGCAGCAAAAGATGGTACGATAATGTTTAAATATACAATCACCTGACCTTTGTTTGTACGTTGATTTGTGGTGTCCAGCTGTATCCGGCAACCAAAAAGAAGGAAAAGTCGCGACAGAGGGTCTTATTGTTGGAGTAACGTTTGGGCTGGTTATCCTGCTGGGGATTATTGCATTTGCTGTGTATCCGGAAAAAAGCAAGAAGACGGCAGTCACACTTGTCAGCCGCGTCAAACTCAGGCAAAAGCAAATCTACAAACCTACACTAACCTACTCTGTTAGTCCGGCATGTGAGTATTGTTGCTGTTGTTGTTGTTGTTGTTGTTGTTGTTGTTGTTGTTGTTGTTGTTGTTGTTGTTGTTGTTGTTGTTGTTGTTGTTGTTGTTGTTGTTGTTGAATTTTTTTTTTGAATTCTTTATTCTCACGATGGCACCATCGCCAATAAGAGATAAATTGATGAGAAGGTGAGATTGTGGGTTAAACAGGTGGAAAGTGATTTACATCACTTTGAACTTTACAAGTATGGGAGAGGGTGAGCGCTGCAGGAGCAGATTGAGTTAATCAGCAGTGAGCAGATTTCTTGTTTGAAAGCAGGTCGGGAGGAGATGTCACGAATGCTAGCAGGGAGGGCATTGTAGTATTCTAGGGACTTGTACAGTGGGGAGTCTTTACAGCGATCGGTTCTGGAGGGTGGGAGGTGCCAAGTGCCTGCGTGTCGAAGGCTGTACTGGGCCGTAACTTGAGCGGGGGTGTTGAGCAAGCGTATGTGTTGTGGGGCATATTCGTATTTTATGGAGTGAGCAAGAAGGGTGAGCTTCACTTTGCGGCGAGAGAACATTGTCGGCCATTTGAGCCGATGGAGCAGTGTTGAATGATCCAGAGGAGTGTAAAGGGGGAGACGGAGGCAGATTCTGGCCGCCTTGCGCTGGATTCGCTCAAGACGGTCAAGGGCTGCGATTGAGAGTGGGGTGACAGCAATGCATGCATATTCAATTATAGGCAGGATATACGTTTTGTAAATGAGAGAGAGTGATTTAGTGTGTAGAGTTGATTTGAGCCTAAAGAGAATATTAAAAGATTTTACGGCTTTCTTCAGCACAAAGTCAAGGTGGGCTGACCATCTTAGGTCGTGCTGAAAGATGATGCCGAGGTGACGATGTTGTGTTACTGTTTCTAATAGGGTTTGGCCAAGTTTTATTTCGGGTAGTCGTGGTGGGGGTCGGTTAGCATGGTAGAACGGGAGGATGACGGTTTTCGTTTTATTGACTAGCAGGTGCCAGCGCTCTAGCCATTCTGCTGCGTCATCGACGCTTCTTTGTAGCGCAGCCTCACACTCAATGTAGCTGCCTGCAATGGCAATTAGTGCGGTGTCGTCCGCGAACTGGCTACACGAGGTTGTAGCATTTTCACAGGCAGTGGGCAGGTCAATGGTGTACGCCAGGAACAGAAGTGGTCCCAGGACCGAGCCCTGGGGCACTCCTGCTGGTATTGGTATGAAGGCGGATGTTGTGCCTTCAACCTGCACCCGCTGTCTGCGTCCTGTCAAGTAGGCTTCGAGCCAATTGTGAGCCTTGCCGTCGACACCATAGTGGCTCAGCTTTTTCAGCAAGCCTTGATACCATACACGATCAAAGGCTTTACTGAGATCGAAGAAACACGTTACAACATGCTTCCCCGCATCCCTAGCTGTGGATATCTGGTGGACGATCCGTGCGAGTTGCAGTTCGGTCCCGTCTTGTTTCCTGAAGCCGGATTGGTTGGAGGGTAAGTGCGGTGCTATGTGATTGTACAGACGAGAGTGGACTATTTTTTCTTGTGTTTTTGATATTATACTGAGCAGGGAGATGGGTCGGTAGTTGGTAGGATGGGAGGGGTTGCCCGACTTGGGGATGGGTGTAATAGTTGCGTCTTTCCAATCCTGTGGTATTTCTCCGGTTCTGAAGGACAGATTGTAGAGACTAGTGAGAGATGGGGAGATTTCCTTTGCAGTTTCTTTCAGGAGCCGAGTTGGGATGTTGTCAAAGCCTGGGCTCTTGCCAGTGTCTAGCCTGCATAGAAGCTTCTCGACCTCTTCCACTGTTGCTGCGATTGTATTTAGAGTATGACTGATGTCAGGGGTAGTGTTGATGTCTGGTGTAGTACAGGTGGTCTTGTAGATGGACTGTTGGCTTTGGGAGATAAAGAACTTGTTGAGAGCTGTTGCCTTCTCCATAGCCGTGGCTGCAGTGGAGTTGGCTGTCGATAGTGTGGGAATTGTTTGCTTAGGCGGTTTTTTCAGGTGCTTCCGTAGACGGTGGAGGTTTGTACCCGTTGACGTTGTTTGCTGGACAAAGTCGGACTTAGCCTGTCGCAAAAGAGCGGTTACTCGGTTACGCTGGGCTGTGTACAGTTTCCAATCTGAGTCTAGTTGGGTCGCCTTGTAGGTGCGGAACTGTTTGTGCTTTGTTTTGATCTGGCTGAGGAGATCCTTCGTCATCCAGGGACGAGTGGGCGTAGAATTTTTGCGGGACTTGCTTCTGGTCACTTGGCAGTGGTGCACGGCTAGTTTCAGTATCTGGTCTCTCCAGAAGTTCCAGAATGAGGTTACTGGCTGAGGGTCAGTGGGATGTGGATCGTACTGCAGATTGCAGGTAGCAAGAGCTTCACGCAGGGACGCAATGCGTTCCTCACTCCACAACCAGTATGTGCTGGAGGTGCTTTGCTGTGTAGTACTGCTCTCATTTTTATTTTTATTTGTATTATTGTTTCTGTGGGTGGTGTGCTGCTGGGGTCGTATGTTGCCTTGTATGACAACATGATCAGAGGCACCCATAGGGGGCAGGCTTGTGATGGTGATGTTATGGCGGCTGAGGCTAGAGATGGCCAGGTCCAGGCACGATGTAGGTGTGTGTTGGCGTAGGTGGGTGGCAAAGGAGACGTGTTTTGTGAGGCCACGAGTCTCGCACAGCCAATGCAGGTCCTCACCTAAGGCATCGGTGGTGTCGCTGGGGTGCCACAAGCAGTTCTTGGCGTTGAAGTCGCCGAGGAGAAGTATCTCATCCTGGGGTCTTTCAACTAGCTTTATGGCTCTCTCCAGTTCCATCACGAACTCTGCGGGGTCGGACCGCGGGGGACGGTAGATGTTCCCTACCACAAGGGAGGCTTGGCCGATTGTTATTCTAATCCAAATACATTCCGCTTGAGTCATGGGAATGGTAATTGTCTCGTGTTGGCAGCTGTGTGGTATGTATGTGGCGACTCCTCCACCAAAGGTGTCCCGGTCCGCTCTCATGAGTTTGTAGCCGCTGATGGCGTACATCCCGTCGCTGTCCGATGGATCCGCCCAGGTTTCCTGGATGGCGATTATTGACGGTTGTTGCAACTTTGCCACGTGGCTAAGCTCGTCCATCTTGTTGAACAGACACCTGACGTTCGAGCTGATGAAATTCGCGACTTCCATTATTTTTTATTTATTTTTGTAATTTGTTTCGTTTTTTTGGTATTTCCGCAATTGAAAGTATTGTTCTCACTGATATTGTGTGGAGGACAGCGCTAGGATTGAGTATCGTGTGACACCAGTGGGCTGAAGCGTGAGCCCTGTGCCGGGGCAAGGAGTTGGCTTTGACCAGGGTCGATGTTGTTGCTCTCTTTTTGTTTTTTTGGAATTTTTGAAATCAGGTGAGGATTCCGCATTGGGACTGGGTCTCCTGCGTCGTTCGGAGGTAATCCAGGGGTTTGCTGGCTGGTTAGACATGTCTGTGTTAGTCACCAGTGAGGAGAGGAGGTCTTCAGCACGCGCCGAATCTGGGTGACTACACTTTGTTGTCGGAGTAGTTGTGTCGGTGTGCGGTGAGTTGGATGTTGTCGTACTTGTATTTGTGCTCCCTGGCGGCGTTCCGGGGTGCACGGTCGTGCTGGTTGCCGACATGGGTGATGCGATGTCGTGTTCGTACGACTCGTAGAGTCTACTGGTTGTTGACTGGGTCGTTTGGGTGCGAGCTCGAGAGCACGTCTGCTTTCGGCGTGGTGTTGGCACCATCGGAGGCCGTTTGGGATACGCCGCTGGCGTGGGTCAAATTCGGGGACGCTTTTGGTGCCGAATCGGTACGGTGAGACTCCGCTTCAGCTCCGCTGTTCATGTTCCGCTCTGTAGCTGTGCTGCCAGTGCTGCTGCCTTCTCTGCCGGCATGCGTGGAGGTGTGCACTGCGACGGTTTTGGCAGGTACGCGCGATGTGACCTAGCTGGCCACATAGCCTGCACGTGCCTACCTGGCCGTCGTAGATGATGCGCGCATATGCGGAGCTCGTGAGAACCTTCTGTCGTACGCAGGTACAACGGGATCGAACTGCCTGGTTTGAGTTCAAACGTGGCGAATCGCACACCAGTTGCTGTTTGGGTGCCGTTTGAAAGTTTGATTTTGCCGTGTCGTATCTCACCGATAAGCTTTCCGTACGGTGAGAGCGCAGCTTTTAGGACACCGTCTGAGATCCAGATCGGAGCATCGTGGATGTGTATCTGTGTTGTTGGTGCGGAAACGAAGCGTGGTGAAACCCGTTCGCCCTTGCAATCGAAGCCATTGAGCACCAACAATTTGGCTTTTTCATATGACTCAACGGTAAGTCTACATTGACCCCTGCTTGGTGTCTGCATCGAAATGATGCCGGTGATACCTTGCTCTTCTAGGAGCTTTATGTAGGCCCCCACGCTTACCTGGGCTTGCGAGGGGAATACAACAGTGTTCTTCTTCAGTGTCGAGGACGAGAGCTGTCACCAGGGCTCCGTATCAGCTCCGTTTCCGGCCATGACGCCTGGCGGTTGTAGTGAATCAGCACTCTAAGTGATCTAGTTTGCTACCTGTGCATCCACAGCCATACGGGCTGGGAGCGGACTATTATGCTAAAAAAACTACGGAGCTCCAAAAACTGCTTCCGCTCTCCAGCTAGTTGATTTTGTTGTCGTTGTTGTTGTTGTTGTTGTTGTTGTTGTTGTTGTTGTTGTTGTTCGTGGAAATTGTACTTGGAAATTGTAAATTGTTAGCGTTTAGAACATTGAGCATCCCATTATAACTCACAGAATGGCTAGCACGACTTGAGTTGAATTTCAGCAAGTTAATATTTCATTTCTTGTATTAGGGATAGTTCAGAAGCTTTACAGACAAACTGTTCGATCATTTCCTTGGGGTATTATTTGAATGCCACGTCTTTCGCGCGAATTCTTTGTTACTCGGGTATTGAGCCAATAATAAAAGTAGAAAGGAAAAGGACATAATGGAAACGAGTTAAGAGTAACTCTCCACCACTGTAACTAGATACTATAATACAGTCAGAAAGTGCAACAACTAGGCACAAAACTGACAGAGTACTGAGACATTCGACGTCCTGAGTCCTGGTTTTGTGCCTAGTTGTTGCACTTTCTGACTGTATAATCTAGTTACAGTGGTGGAGAGTTACTCTTAACTCGTTTCCATATGTCCTTTTGAATTCTTTGGTCTTCATGAAAAACGGTATACAGCTGTACTGAACTTAATAGACCGATCCCCTTATTATTGTCTGGGTTCGAGCAAGGGGGCAACTCCGCAGTCGCGTGGGATCCTGCTGCACACACGCGACCAACCTCACCTCGGCTGTGCGCGACTTCTCGCATGCGAAGTGCAGAGCACGCGAAATCTACATGCAGTGCAGGCCTGTCTACAAAAAAATGTCACAAGGACTTTTGATTTGAGCTGTTTTGTTTTTGTTTAGAGTAAGACATTCTTCCTTTTTACGACTTCAGGATGCCTTCTCAGGATCATTGCTGCGTTCCTCACTGTCAGAACAGGAGGACGATGCAAACAAGTCATTTCACTCCTTTCCTCGTGTGGAGCCACAGCGGCCTGGAGTAAGCGGATCCAGGCTATGCCGCGTGAGGAAGGACGTAGTTTTAGGGTCACTCTGAATAGTTGCAGCGATCATTTCGATCCCGAAATCGAAATCGTTTTGCCCAGCTCTACAAGGGCAGAATGAGTCCAGGAACCCGAACAGCTGTCCTACGGTACCAGGTTTGCTTTTCGCAAGAGAGTGGAGTCTGGGACGCCCTGCTCCCCATGCTCGCAAAACAGTATTTGCTGAGCCTAGTGCAGTTCGGTCATGGAAGTGCAGCGTCTGCATCACGAGCTCCCCATGCTCCCAAACCAGTATTTTGCTGAGAGGCAACGGTACTTTGAGTTGGAAAGGAACCTGGCTTAGTGCAGTTTGGTCTTGTAATGGAAGTGCAGCATCTGCATCAGGAGCTGGCAGCAAGTAGAGCTCGTGTACAGAGTCTCGTGGAGCAGTTGGACGATGTGAGGAGTGGGGTGAAGGAAGCCGAAAAACAGCTTACGTACAGTAACATAAAGAAAGACTCTGAGCCGCTCCAGTTTCTGACTGGTTTGCCTTCAGGTGTTTGGACTGCTCTGTGGGACTTCTTTGAGCCTAGCCGAGAAAATGTACTGCGGCGCGCCGGATCTGCGAAGACGGAAGCTGAGGGACGGCGGATACAGTTGGAGGTGGCCGTAAATCGCCAATGAGCATGTAATGGAGGATCAGCTGCTATTGGCATTGATGTGTCTAAGCCTGGGCCGAATGGAACAGAAGCTGGCATGCGTGGCACAAGTTAATCATCCGTTTCACGGTATATAGCTAGCTGAGCTGGAAAGATGTCTTGTTCCTCCGTTTGGGCGAGCTGGCGAGATGTTCAGTCATCAATGCCATGTACCGCAAGACATTCTGCATTGTGGATGAAACAGTTCTATTTTGCCATGCACTTAGGGTTCTCGCACCGGCACGGCACAACAAGACCCAACAGATCCTTGCGCTCGTATTTTCTCCCATGGTAACATTGCTGATCACAACACCCAGTAGCCAGTCGCAGATGCAACCAAATCAACCAGGTTCTCTTACTCTTTTTTTTCCAATACTGAAACCAAGGTATACCAATATTTGCATCGAATGCAGTGATGATTTCAATACTGTCCACCAGTACAACGCATTACCAGACTGGCATATAATCATGATACTTGTAATATTATCCATTTCGCAATCACTGTCATTGCTTTCTTAGATCTCCAATCATCAATATCGGACCATAAACCGTCTATCATCTTATATTATATCATCATTATTATCCTGCTACTATCCTCCTCTAACGATGAGCTCGAAGAAACGAAACAGCTGTCTAGAGGCGTAAACAATATTATTCTGTCAACGGAAGTGTCCTTGCTGTGCTGGTGTGTTTATGCTTCGTGCATTAGTTCGGCCAAGAGCGCATGGTGGTGGCGGGTTGAGGATGTAGTACAGCAGCGTATGACCGAAAGCTCTGTCACAATGTATTTTATTAGGAAGGTATAGAAACAGAAAAACAACTGTATCTTGATCTTGGGCGTAAACAGCCCGTCTCACATTAAATATACTAGAAAATAGTTCACTCTGAACATGCAGTCTTCCTAAGAGAGAGAGAGGGGGGGGGTTATATTCATACTCATAGGTTCGAAAGAACCGCACACACACTTTGTTGCAGACAGCGGCAAGCTTTGGCCCTCGTACTTCGAAGAGGGGGCAATCCACTGCGCTACGCTTGCGATTAACAGCAAGCTTCGATCTTCCAAAGGTACGACTCATCACTGGCCCTGGGGTAATGTTCCTGGAACAAATGCCCCATTGCCGACTGAGGGCCAGGGAGCACGCAATCTGCCTTCCTGGGCGAGAAGTGTTCCAGCACAAGAAGCAGCACGAATACATGCTGACAAAGACCACCATCACCACCAGCCGGCACACAGCACTTCAAACATCATCCACTCCTTCCATGTGTTTGCACTGTCCTCCTCTAGCTCTTCACGCTCAACAAATACCACGCACTGCTCATCGTTTTTTTTTAATGCTTCCTCTGGGTTGGCTAGTCCTTCGACTTGACAAAACAGCGATCACCACTGCTATCGTCACCTCATAGCAGTCGCTTCCACTAGTGGATTTTCCTGTCTTTGCAAGGTGTCCAAGGATGGCTGCTGTTGTCACTACAGGCAAATCAGAAGTACTTTAGTGGCTGATGTCCAACCAGATCGTTGGAAAATCGATTTTTCCACTTCAGGGCTGCTGATCGCGATCGCGACTTCGCAGCACCACGGTTACCTTCATAGAAGATGGCTCTGGAGAGGAAAAGGCAGACCAGAAAAAGGTTACTATTATCTTCAGCACCGATCTCAAGGAGAAAGAAATACGGTCTGCTGTAGCCTAGGCACAAAATAAAATCTCACAACACGATTCGCGATTCGAATATTTCAACAACAAAAAACTCACCTCTGGAGTAACTCCTGTTTGTGGCCCGAGATCGTTCCCTCCCGCGCCTTGAAAAAATCCTGCAGCTGCATCACAGTCCATGTCTCTCTCGGAGACTCTGCTCCTACCAGCAGGAGGTTCAGCACCGCTCGAAGCCATCGCAAACCCCTTGAACTAAGCAGAAGACATTCCAAAACAAACCTGAAACACACTGTCAAAGATGCTGTCACGTTCAAAAACTAGCTCGATCGCGAGTGAGGTTGCCCCCGTGCTCGAACCCAGTATAATAAGGGGATCGGTCTATTCCGCTTAATGCAAGGGGAACTGATTGAAAAGATTGTAAAGTCCCGAAAAACAATAAACTAGATCCAAAATTCACCCTGTCACGGACCATGTCTAAAGCCTGTATCATTACGGTACTTTATTCCGTTTAAGGAAAACGCGTCGCATCACGAAAAAGTTGACTTGAGCTCAACTTGTTTGGCCCATGGTGAGATGAACGCATGATGACTTTCACATACTC